TTCCTCAGCTAACGTCACAACATCTATAAAAACCCATGCATGCATTCATTCACCAGTCACCACTACAACTCATTCCAAACATGGCGCACCAAAAAAGTGTGCCATTCCCGCGTTTACTGCCAATTCTGCTGATCCTAATGGCGTCTGTCGCCTGCGCAGCAGCATCGTGGTGGCAGAAGCTCGTAGTCTCTTAAACCTCAACCCTCGAACCCACCCCCTCCTCCGCCACCTCCGCCACCCCCGCCTCCCCCAGTAGTGATTCTTCCGCCGCTGCCATCAGTACTGCCTCCGGTGAACATCCCGCCTGCCATCAGTACTGCCTCCGGTGAACATCCCGCCGCTGCCATCAGTGACTCCGGTGAGCATTCCGCCGCTGCCATCACTGCCTCCGGTAACATCCCGCCGCTGCCATCACTGCCTCCGGTGAACATCCCGCCGCTGCCATCAGTGCCTTCAGTGACTCTTCCTCCAGCGAGTCTTCCGCCGCTGCCATCAGTGCCTCCAGTGCGTCTTCCATTAGTGCTCCAGTGACTCCTCTTCCTCTTCCTCTTCCTCTTCCTCCACTGCGTCTTCCAGTACTGCCTCCAGTGCGTCTTCCGCCGCTGCCATCACTGGTGCCTCCGGTGACAATCCCGCTGTTCCCGCGGCTACCATAAACGATGGAGGACCGTACCGCATTTGAGCTAAGCTCCATGGCTTGCGGCCGCCCTATATCGTCTCAAATACTCACTATATATTATCATCTTCTCCGATCCCTTTGCTTTATATAAGTATCCCTCTCTACTACATATAATATTTTCCTTATTTTACTTTCTATGCCCCTCTGTAGTCCGTACCGTACGCACGTAATAATATTGGAATAAACGGCGAGCCACTTATATATATACATCTTCATATCTATCATTCTACGATTTTATGCCCGCAAACACTATATGGTTTGCTTCAAGAAACATTAATTAGTTGGAACAAGATTAGCTTTCATTTTTTTTAGAGCAAATTAAAACAAAACTTCATTGAATTAACAAAATCTAATTAAAATAAAGATGGGATGAATATATATAATGGATCCATTGGTCAGTTCTAGAAAAACTAGCTCATGAGTAGAAGTTTAATATCAAATCAAATATCACTAGCTCCAAAATCTTTTGAAAAACTGATATGTAAAATAATTATTGTCCGCCTTTTAAGAAGTCAATGTTTGTTGCATCCCACTCTAAACCGTTTGCACTCCAGACTCCTTTTGGCACCACGTAGTCTTTTTTCATCTTTGGATCGAATGGTTTCACTTAGAACCTTATCAAACACCAGACAACGAAACCCTTTCTTAGGTCGCTTCCTCTGGCCAACTTATGGACTGACAACTCTAATCTAAATAGCTTTTAGTCCAAATTCTTCTTAATTCTTTTTGAACCAGTCCAGTAGCCTTCTTCCAAATAATTCTTTCTCATTATGCACCGGCCTCAAAATGGGAGGTAGTAACAAATTATCATGGTCGTCATACACGATATGATGCTAGAACCGGGGTCAATGACAATGGCTGGGAAAATAAATCATATGTTTTCCTAACAGCTCAAACAAGAATGGCAATGGCTGGGAAAATATTTGTGTTCCTTGATAAAGAAGCTTGAAAGGTATTCAAGAAAATCCAGCTGGCTTCAAAGCTACCTGGACTATTTGTCTATTTCAGATGAGTGTTGTTGAGAAGTTGAACCAACATATTGTTCTTCCTACCAACTAATCTCAATGTTTCTTCCTGCTCTCCTTTCTATATAAGCTTGCCCAAATACAACCCCAGACCATAACTCTCTAATCCAAGCTAGAAATAGAAACAAAACATCTTCACCAAGAATGGCTCATCATCTCAACCCATCCTTTCTCCTGCTTTTCTTGATCACTCTGTCACCGGCTTTCGTACAAATCGAGGCCAGAAACCTTATGGAGATCACATTGCCTGAAATCCCAACATTGCCAAAGCCTGAGCTGCCAGAAATTCCAAAACCAGAGCTACCAACATTCCCAAAGCCTGAAATCCCAGAAATCCCAAACCAGAGCTACCAACGTTCCCCAAGCCTGAAATCCCAGAAATCCCAAAACCAGAGCTTCCAACATTACCAAAGCTTGAAGTCCCAGAAATCCCAAAACCAGAGTTTCCAACATTCCCAAAGCTTGAAGTCCCAGAAATACCAAAACCAGAGTTTCCAACATTCCCAAAGCCTGAATTCCCAGAAATTCCAAAACCAGAGCTGCTTAAGAAGCCATGATTTCTTGAAGGCTTGCTTGAGCGTGCGCACACACATATTCTCCAGGATTCTCAGATTATTTACACTTATGATTGATACATTCACTATATATTCCGGTCTTGAACGAATGGATGCACGATGTTCTCTACGTGCAGTGTGTTAGGACTCAGATCATTCATCATCTGTACTACTCATCTTTGAATTTCGTACTTAAGTGTGTTTCATTTACATGTTTTCTTGCTTTTAAATTCAACATATATGCAATGACTATTGTTTGCTTGAAGAAACATTAGCAGCAAGGTAAAGAAAACGAGGCATTCATTTCTGGAAGTGCCAATATACATCAAAAGCGGTGAATAGATTTGGGTAAATAAGAAAAGATTAATTGAAATTGCAAATAAGAATGATAAATGAGTTTCATGCAATCAATAGAGTTTGGGTGTAGGCCCAGAGACCCACAAACTAAGCGAGTTATATGAGTTGACCGGCCTAGAATTTACAGTTATACAATTGGTCATGGTACCAAAACGATGTAAATTTTTTTTTTTTTTTTAATGAAAACCAGGTTAATGGTTGCATTTTGAACCGTACCCAATACACAGCCATGACCCTCTGGAATGAGGACGGCGGCCATGGCCGTGTTCCTTAGACGACGTGACTGTCCTCTCCGGACAGCCAAGAACAGTTTTTTTTTTTTTTATTTTTTATATAATATTTGTACTTTTAGTAAATAAAAATAAATTTATTAAAAAAATTAAAATATAAAAGACGCGTGTCAACACATAAATTTAACCTGATAAACAAGTCATTTTGGACTTAATTGAACAATTTTACCGGTTTAGGGGAGTTAGTGAAGCAAGGCTCAATATGAATTAGGCCTTGGCCCATAACCATAAACTGGTCGAGACTGGTTGTCTCACTTGTCTCCGTTGTCTGGGCAAATTATGTTGTGGAACCGTATCCATCTTGCAAGGTGGACATGGTTCCAAAACGGCGTCGTTTTGGTGGAAAATTACGTCGTGTCGTCATGTTAATTTAAAAATAATAATTCTTTCTTTCGTCGTTAACGACATTTGTCTTCAGAAAATTTATGTTCATAATTACTGAACTCTATGTTTATAATTATAGAACTGATACTGCTAATTATGGGTAAGCAATATAGAATAACACGAGACCAATTAAAGCAAGTAAAATCTTTATTGATCACGGTAAAGGCCCTAAGTACAATCTACTTGGTTGCTCTGAGTACCGACTGAGTGCGGTCGGGATTCTCTAATAACAACCTATCGATCGTCCCAAAAGTCCCTTACACTGTAGCTACTGTGGGTATTTATAGCCGCTATGCCGGGGACAGGATTCCAGCCGTTCGGCATGTCCTCCACGTAGCCACCACGTGTCATCCTCCCGGGTGCCCTGCCTGTCGATGTAAAGAGCCGCCACGTGTCCTTCGTCAGCTCTTTCGCCAAAGGGCTACCGCTCGGTGGTCGACACCGTTGCTCGGGCAACTCTGGTCGGTCTACGACCGGGTTCTTCTCGTGGAGCCCGACCTGTTACCTGCAAAGACAAGGAGAAAGAGACAAAGGCTCCTCGGTCGTGGTGAAGCTATGTCGGTCGGGATATTCCCTACCAAGAGCCCCCCAGCCCGGGCCTTTTTGATCAGTCGGGAAAAAACGGGATGGGATGAAGAAGCCCAACCGTCAGCCACCAAGCCGACCTGCCAGCTGTCATTCCCTCCTACGCCACGTGTCGGCCTCTGCCGGCCTCGGCGATCCCATCCGTCGCCTCGGATTCAGCGCGGGTCGTGTCAGGCAAGTTGGCCCATTTCCCGCCTAAATGCCCTCCTATAAATAGGCCCTTGAGGCCCTCATTTGAACTTTCCTCACTCTTTTGCTTCAGTCGGTATCCTCTAAGAATCCCGAGCAGAGCATCTCAGCAAGGCGATCAAGCAAAGCGAAACTTCAGATCCTCTTCCAAGTTTCTTCACTCGGTAAGCTCCTAGTTCTTTACTCTTTCTCTATTCTTCACTTGGCGTAGAAGTAGGATAGCACTAACTTCGAGCTAACTCCCCGAACCCTATACTAACTCCCGACCGACCTTTAGGTAGAATTATGTCGGACTCGGATAGTCAAAACGCCTCGATCGCGGACTATGACGAGGAGGTCGAGTACATCAGCGACGAGGAAGTGGACATTATGTCCTGCACTCCTGAAGCCAGCCCCCGAGCAACGCCAGCCCCTGAGCGAGCCGTCAAGCATAACAACGCATCAAGCTCCTCTGGGACATCGAGCTCTAGCTCCAGCGGATCGGGGAGCTCCAGCGAAGAAGAGGAAGAGAGAACCACGTCAAGCGGGCGGGGTTCTCCGACCGAGGGCGTTAGGGAAACGCCTACCCGGGTGGTTGGGGACTACCCGGAAGCTGCTCCTCGAGGGGGGGATCGGGAAAATACCCCCGAGCAGACCGAAGAAGACCCGGCCGGGCCGGCCACACCAGCCGTCGAGCTCGAATTCTTGAACAGCGAGAGTGTCGAGCAAGAAATGAGCCTGCTGACCAAAGGCGAAGCGGCTCGGATTGCTGAAGTACTCCGGGGTCGGGTTGAATTCGACACGAGCCGGCAGCTGGGGAACGTGATTGACAGGCATCGGGGCAAGTGGATCGGGATGCATTACGACTCCCTAATGGCCCCGATTGCCATTCCCTTCCCGGCCCTCTTGACGGCCTTTTTAGCGTACTACCGGGTCGTTCCGGCTCAAATCTGCCCGAACGCACATCGGATCCTCGCCTGCTTCCCGCAGATATGCACTCGGCACGAGGCCGAGTGCACGATGGAGTTGTTCAACTTCATCTACCAGATCAAGGTTCTCCCGGGCCGCTACGGGGGTGGGTTCCTGATGCTGCAATCCCGAGCAGATATGTGCTCCATCAAAGGCCTGCCCGGGAACAACAAGGGGTGGAAGAACAGAATTTTCTCCATCAAATACGACCCCTGGATCCTCCCGGTCGATCGCACTTGGAGCAGCCACTTCAGAAAGCAAGTGGTGCCGGCCGCGACTCAGGCGCTCAAGGAGACGGTCACTCGGATCTCGAGTGAAATACACGAGTACTCCATCTTCCGGACAGCCGAGAGTCTCGCAGCCGCCAAGCTCCCGCC